ACAACGAGATAACCAAGTATGGACAAAATTGCCTCTGTCTCCTTCAAATAAACAGTCGACCGGGGATATCAAAGACTTTTCTGTTTCTTAAATTTTGTCTCCTTGAGTGTATATACAGATTCTCTTGAGATATACACACAGTAAATAAGTCAGGGAATAAAAAAAGGAAGAAAGATATCAGAATTTATAAAACAATACGGGAAATATGTACCTATAGCTGTTGTATAACCTTGATGTGGTATCTCAAAGTTGATTGCCATTCCTTTCTGAATTGCCTCTTCCTTCGATAATATTTAAATTAATTTCAAAAAGTCAAAAAAGGCCATTATAAGCAATATTACCACAATACGCATTAATCCACACACGTTCATATTATAATATAATATATTAACACAGATATCTTGAATCCTTGAAACATTAATAGAATGGCTGAATGTCGTGGTCCATTTGGATGAGGAAAGCAAAGACTAGAACACGGCTGATTCCACACTCGTCTTTTCAGTGATACGCTAACTTATGCACGGTAGATTCTGTGGCCACTGGACAAGTGTCGGACCTGGAGGCTGTTGAATTCTGCCCTGCCTGGAGTATAAGAGCTCATGTATGCTTCTTTCCTGCGGTGAATCTGTATAAGACCGGTGGTCTTAATAAAGCTGTTTGTGTGTGTAATATCAACACAAGTAAGTAAAGTGATTAAAGTAAAGAGACTGGATGTCTTTAGTTTGAGCAGTAAATGCTCCAAGGCCACATTGTTCTATTTATAGAACACCTTCAAAGTTTTATAGGACCAATGGACGTAATTAGGGCAGTTAACGACCATGTCATGACGGGTCCTTGGGTGGAATTGCCTATGTGAGTGCAGAGTCAAGAGAGTGTCCATAAACCAAAGTATTATACTATCTGAAATACATAGCCGCGATATCACACACACACAAAAACCTTTATTAAGACACACTGGTCTTACAGAGGATTCTCCTTGGGGTTACAAGACGGAGAAACCTATGAAAGTTGGAAATATACAAAGGGGTAAAAATGGAGAAGGATTATATACACATGATAAATATATACAGATTATTATTTGAATGATCCTATGGAAAATAGGAATATGGATTTGGAAATATGGATGGAAGAAGTGGAGAGCGAAAAGAGGAAAAAACAGGTATTTACATATGGAACATACATATAATGGAACAGTCAATTTAAGCTCTTCTGCTCACACAGCACAAGAGTACCATGGCTTTTTTCAAGAAATCTTTAAGAGATTTTCCAGAAAAATCAGAGTGTTCGGAGTTTTAAGGTCATAGCCGCGATATCTAAATACTACAGAATCCAAATAACACCGTTTTATGATACAACAATGTGGGAATACTACATTTGGAAACCATAGTGTACCTGGCAGGATGAAGAGGTAACTCTCGGAAATTTAGAAGATACCACAATGTCCCCAGGCACCATAATGTCTAAGTACCACAATTTACAAAGTAATGGATAAAACTTGAGAAATGGAAATCTTTAATATCACCAGTCGTATTTTTTTAATGGAGAGAGGCAATTTTTTTGTTCACCCTTGGTTATCTTGTGCGTCTTTATTATAGGTTACTGTGTATCAAATATCTTTCAGAGTTATTCTCTGAATCCCGCTATACACCGATGGATAAAACTTAAAGAAGTGGAAAGTCTTTTTATTTTTCTAATGAGACAAGAAACAATTTTTTTTTTCACTTGGTTATCTCGTGTGCCTTTAATAAAGGTCACTGTAATATCTTTCAGAGGTATTGTCTGAATTCTGATATACATGCTAAAAGGTAAAGCTTCTTTAAGTTTTGTCCATGAGTGTACACTTGGTTATCTCGTGTGTCTTCAATAAAGGTCACTGTAATATCTTTCAGAGTTATTGTCTGTATCCCGATATACATGCTAAAAGGTAGTGCTTCTTTAAGTTTTGTCCATGAGTGTATTTACACTTGGTTATCTCGTTTTTCTTCAATAGAGGTCAGTATAATATCTTTCAGAGTTATTGTCTGAATCCTGATATACATGCTACAAGGTAAAACTTACTCAAGTTTTGTCCATGAGTGTATATACACACTACAGATTCCAGGACCTACATTTCCTTGACACACCCCAACATCCAGAATGACAATGTTCTAAAGCTAGTATATTCGCTCCCCACAAAGATAAACGAGTACAGATGGTGCAACACAAGCCAAAGATACACCCCGCTGTTTACTACACACGTGGCTGTAATGGGATACTCTGCCGCCATCAATTTGGAAAGTGACAAACATTTCCAGCGAATACCTTAAAACTGCCGGAATAGAGCAACAACAAACAAGAGAAAACTTAAATATATTAAATATATTGATATAATTGATAAGGCACAATTTGGATTATAGATTATAAACACAAGGTAATAAGACCAAATCCAAATAAATAATGTGTGACGTTTCGGTTACAGCGTTGTTACCATCTTCAGACAAAAGTACTGAATGAATAAATAGTGTGTGACGTTTCGGTAACAGCGTTGTTACCATCTTCAGTACTACAGAGATTCAGTACTTTTGTCTAAAGATGGTAACAACGCTGTTACCGAACCGTCACACACTATTTATTTATTTTGGATTTGGTCTTATTACCTTGTTTTAAATATATAATAATAAACTCCAGTTCAATAATCATATTTGTGAACATTTATCTGAATTTGTCAAAACTGGTGTGTTGTGACTCTCTTTATCTTCATAAGTATTTCTTTTACTCTAGTGATGAACATAATGCATCGTTTTGATACATGATTAAAGGGAGAGGTGCCTTTTTTATACTATATATTTATATTATATATATATATATAGTGTAAAAACTATATAATAAAATTATAACAGTGATTCTACATTTAAAGCTTAAGGAGCAAACTGATAAGAATGATAAATCATATCAAGTAGATTTGGTTAGATTAGCAAGCTAAATCTAAATTAATTATAAAAATAAATAGTTGTATAGTTTTATAGTTAAGTATTTTATTAAAATTATCTTCATTATTTTGATTATTTAAATTCAAATTATAAAATTTGTAAAATGTTATTATTTATTATAGATAGAGAGAAAAAAAAATCCTTTACTTCTAAAACATCATCTAGTTAATTATATATTTATAATTAATAACAATAAAATTTAACAACGTAACGTCTTTTGTATCGGCTTTTACACGTCATTTAGACATACTCTAATCCTATATATAGAATAATAGAAGTGAGAATATATATGATAGTTAGAAAAAAGAGAGAAAGACAGAACCATGCACTTTTAATCAAACTAATAATAAGAAAACAAAAAGTTTTGTAAAGAAGGTAGATAAGATATATATATATATATATATATATATATATGTCATAATATATACTCTTCCAGGAATAATAAAGCAAATCTAGAGTCAGCCCAGAGAGAGACAGGAGGTAAAGTCCGGTAACTTGAGACAGCAGCGACATTCCAAGGGGCGGCAAATGGGGCCCGTCCGTCAACACCTTGGGACTTTTAAGACAGTAGGGGATTGTGTTCGACACGAACGGTCGCCCGGCGGTTGCCGGGCCCGTCTCTCTCTCTCTCTCTCTCTGGTTGCCTGGGTTCCTCTACCAACTTGTGGTGTGATTATTTCTCTTTCCCCACATTATTATTATATTGCCACATATATGTGTGTGTGAAAAAAAAAACAATAGAAAAAATAAAAAGGTCATGTGTTGATCTTAAAAATAAAAAAGGCATATCCTGACCAGGAATACATCTGCTTTTTAGAAGGCAAAACGCCATATGGTGGAACAGAAATCAACTAAACATTGATTTAGCCTGTTTTCTGATATATGGCCAACCCAAGGGGTTATGAAATCGATCAAATTTAGCAAAAAGTTGTTTTAAGCTGGTGAAGAGGCTAGAATATCGCAAAAGCCATACCGGAATATTATAAAAGAACGAACATTGATTGTCTGTAAGGAAACCTAGCTACAAGACCCGTCCACAGTAGGAAAGAACAGAGAAAAGAACCAGGCCAGTATGATAAAAAGAGTTAGTGGAACAGTGAAAGCGATGTATCCAGCCATTACACGACCCCATCAACACGTACAAAAAGTGGACCCACCCTACCTCCCATTGAGGACAACTTCTTCACCGGTTTCTATTTTGTGTCATTTTCTAGGGGACAGCTCCCGTAATGGATGAAAGATTGGGAACAGCTCGAACGGTAGTTGGGGTAAACTAATTGAAAATGTGTCAACTACACGTGAAATCCTTTAATTAAATAAATATTGTAGGTCGCTGGGCAAACCGTGTATTTTCTTGGTGACACTATGGACAAATATTCTTCAATTTGATCTGTTAGCGACCATCATTCGTTTCTCATCTGGTGATCTTCCGGTAGCTTTCTTGACTCCTTCAAGCCAGTTCATTGTAGGTCTTCCTCTCTTTATTAAAATTTACTTAAAATCAACGTCTATTTTAAAATCACTACATGTCCGAAGTAAGTCCGTCTTTATTTACATATTTGATACTCTAGGGATCTAATAGGATTAATTTAAGATTGAAAAATGTGTATTTTATCTGTCTCCATGGAATTCTAAGTAGTTTTGTCTATTTCCACATTTCAAAAGCTTCAATTCTTTTTCTTTCTTCTTTTCTGAGAGTCCGGCTCTCACATCTCTAAGTGGCCAGAGGGAATGCCAATGCATATGGCCCTTACTACAATAAAACTTATCCTAATTGGGACCATGAAGAAAACATTTTTTTAAAATTATCCCTAATACACGTGGTATAGGCCATGATAATCATGGTGGGTAGTTAGCGACTGCTTTTACTGTAAGCGCACCACATGTCTACACATGTGAAAAGCAGTTCGACTTTGCACTTACAAATATGCCAGAGTCCCGTTTGGTTATTTGCACTCGCTGGTGGGGTTGGACTTTTGCAAGAATCGGGGGCCATTGGAGCATTTTTTTTTCTAAAATCAGAAAAAAAAGTGTCCAATGCGGGAATCGAACCCGGGTCGTAGTGGTCGAAAACCAAACGGTTTAACCAGTCTTCCACCCAGTCTTTGGCCAGAAAATATTGTTTTTAATTTCTCAAGGTTTTGACAAAGATCTTTTTGTCTTCGTCAGGAAAAATAAAAATTAAAAGCTTTTGTGGCAAGGATTTAAAAATTATTCGACTTTTAGTCAAAATGTTGAGAAAATAAAAACAATTTACTAACCATAGTTCTAAAGAACTATGAATGCCGGCCAGGCACAACCTCTATCTTTGTAATGAAATCTTTGAAAGAATCAATAAAATTGTTTAAATTGTCAAATTGTGTGTGTGTGTCTATCTTTGTAATTGTTGTTGTTTGCTGATGTAAATCGTCACCTTCAGAGAGCTCTTGTCTCTAAACATCCTAGTAATAATTCAGTTGTAGTATAGGAGTAGTATGCAGGATTTGAAGCTCTAGTGCAGGAATCAGCAAACTTTGTAGTCGGGAGAGTCAAAAATTACAATTTACAAAGATTTTAAAAAAACACAACATTTTTTCTTGTCCAACAATAAATAGTACTCGCATAAATAATATTTACATATGGAACTATATAAAGAGCTTCACATCCAAAGAGCCGCATGTGGCTCGCGAACCACAGTTTGCCGACCCTTGGTGTAGTGCGATATTGGTGTTCCAGGTGGTAACATGGACAGCTGTACTGAAGTAGATACCATGTACAGGTGGTCTAAATGACCAGGAGATACGCTTGGTCGATCGGCGGACTTCCAGTCGTTGTAGAGAACAATCAATAACGTACGGGTGGATTGAACTAATACAATCTGTTCCATCAATCACATCAACCCATATCATCCTGGTCACTAAAACAAGCATTAACCAATGTCATCCAATAATCAAACTACACGCCATCAAAGACAAATTTCGAGCAAGATTAGTCCCTAACTGATATCTCCCCACAGTTCAAGAAAGGTCAAGACAGGGAAGTTCAATTTTGTGGTATTCCCTTCAGAGCCCCAAATGATGAGGCAGCGTTTTACTGATCTCCAGGAACCTAGGTTATATCTTTCTTAGAGTGAGTTTACACTCATTGACAAAACTTAAGGAAGTTATACATTTTAGCATGTATATCGGGATTCAGACAATAACTCTGAAAGATACACTCATGGACAAAACTTAAGGAAGTTGTACCTTTTACCATGTATATCGGGATTCAGACTATAATTCTGAAAGATACACTCACGGAGACAAAACTTAAGGAAGTTGTATCTTTTATCATGTATATCGGGATTCAGACAATATCTCTGAAATATATTACAGTGATCTTTATTGAAGACACACGAGATAACCAATTGTGAACAAAATTGTCTCTATCTCCTTAAAAAAAGACGAGCGGTAACATAAAATACTTCCTACTTTTTAAAGTTTTGTCTATGAGTGTATATATCAATATCAACGGCAGTAAACAGACAAAAATTCGATGTTTTTTAAAGAGCGGAGGCTGTGTGGGCGTCAGGCTAAGTTAGAATCCGCCTGCATTCCCTCCCACGCCACCCTCGGACTGCTGCCGTCGCCCCTTGAGGGAAGAATGAGGAAGACCCCCCGGGCAACAGGAAAGTGGCCACCGCCGTCAAATTGCTCCACAACTCCCGTGACCCTCAAATATCATATTTGTCTAATGATGAGGGTAGGGACACATCTTCCAGCCTGCCGGTGGAGTATGTTGGGAATCTTTTATGGTTCAGACAATGAAACAACAAATAACAAGTTTACTTGCAGCTGAAGTGGTTTTAAAGAAATAGGCGATTTTACCTTTTATGAAAGTATTTTAAATTTATTATTTTCAAATAGAGAGAGAGAGAGAGAGAGATAAAAAAAAAAAACAATTAACAATTACATTTACTAATTATGTAAACAAAACAAACACTCCTTTGTTCTCGGTTTTATATTACAGTGTTGTCAGTCCAAAGGTATTTCAAGATCATTGATTTACTATTTTAAAACATTTTCTTTCTTTTTTTTTTCAACAGAGTAGACACTCATGGACAAAACTTAAGAAAGTAGAAATGTCCATGTCCATTATAACGACTACCAATATCAAGGATATGTTTACGCAGAGTAATAAAAAAAAAAATATATATATATATATATATTTGTATATATATATATATATATATATATGTCGTAGCTGTTGTGGTCAAATGAAAGGGCGCAACCAAGAATTAGCTCCAGCCAAGCGAACAGCGCACCCGCGATGTCTGCCACCTTTATTTTTTGTACAGCTTTTATAGTTGGATGAATTTACATATTTACATTTTAACACAAGCGTAACATATTTACATACTTATTTTGACGAAAATAAATTATATCTCTTGTCATCTATATATATAAAAATGAATGTATGTGTGTGTGTGTGTCTGTCTGTCCTTTATGCCTGACCAAACCACTCATTGGAACGCCATGAAACTTTGGAAAGTTATTTAGTATAGTACTGGGAAGGTTTCTAGCAAATAAAATTTTTGAAATAACTTTTCGCTTTAAAATAATCAAGATAAATATTCTAATTTATCTGTTATAATTCAACAATCTGCTCTAAATATTATCATGATGATACGATGATTTTGTAATGTAGAAAATTAGGAAAGACAAAATTCAGGATGACACGGCAATTTATTTGAGACAAGAATAATGATACAATTCCAAGGCAAGATACTTTTCCTTTAACTTCCAATTACCGAGGGAACCAATTAATATTGATTGTATTCAACTTATCGAGTATTTTTCAAGGGACCGGGAAAAAATGTTCACTTTATCGAGAGATTCGTTAGACAAACCTTTACTCGGGTAAAACCCGGGCGAAGCCGGGTACGTCCGCTAGTTAACTATACAAATTATGACATATATATATCAAAATTTAAAAAGACAAAGGTCGTCTCTCCTGTCAAAATAGAAGTCAAAGTTAGACACCATCTATTGACCGTCGTCGAAAACTAGCGGCCTCGGGTCAGTAACAAAGCCACTACACCAGCTTTGGCAAACTGAAAAGCGTCCACCTAGAGACCTTGGTTCCATCTATATATCAAAATTAATAATATGTTAATAAATAAATACTTCGCTATAATTTAGTTATATAATTGTCCTCTTGTAAGGTCTGTTACCTCTGCTCCACCAACTGTGTAAATAGCCAGGACACAAGGTGACATCTGTAAACTGAGACCATATAAATAAATATAGGGTTATCACAAAAGTTCGTGTTTTGGAGAATAATATTATTATACGGCGAATACATAATAATACATATAAAATACAAATACATTATACATAAAGGTGAATAATATTGGTATTTCAATTTTTTTGAAGTTTTAACGAACTTTTGGGAAAACCTTGTAAGAGAAAGTAGTTGTCTCATTTATCACTTATCTAACCTTGTAGAATGGTTGAAACACGCTACTGGAAAGATACAAGACATATATGAGGAGATAATCAAGGTTGATGAGTCTGACAGATCGCAACCTGGTGCAACAATAAAGAACTAGATAATTATTGATATATGCTATGTATAGAACCATCCCACGAGGTCATGATGAAGGAGATCCTGGAGAGGTGATGACATCCTCTAATACTATCTTAGAAAGAGAATTCACTTAATCAAAATGTATCGCATTCTAAGAGATGTAGAGAGGAACTGGTGAGAAGGAAGATGGATCACACTTTTAATAGAGGATGCGGAGCTTTTACCTCAGCAGCCATTAAGGACGGCATTTTGGGTGACCCAGAATCTAATGGTAATTCATCACAACCTCTGGTAGTGACATTTATTTACATGTCTGGGCTATTTTAGGCCGTGTTAATGGAAGAAATGTCTGTTGCTTCACTTTCTTTTTTACCATTCTACTACAACATGGCTCCTATAAAATTGACAACTTTCTGTTTGGTGGTTGGTCAGTTGTTTTTTTTTTTTTGCATATATGGTCGATATTATATATATACAGTAGAACCTCCCTTTAGCGGACACCCCGCTAGAGGACACCTCTCCAAAAAGGACAGTTTTCATTTGCAAAATTACCATTTTTACAATTTAGCAACTCTCCGGTAAGAGGACACCTCTCCCTAAAGGACATTTTGTCTGTAATTAGGTGTTGTCCTTTACGGATAGGTTCTACTGTAAAAGGAAGTAAGACGCAGGCGATTTTGTTCACACTAGATTATCCCGTGTTTCTTCAATAAAGATCACTGTAATATCTTTCAGAGTTATTGTCTGAATCCCGATATACATGTTAAAAGGTACAACTTCCTTAAGTTTTGTCCATGAATGTATGAGATAATTGTCAATCGGATGAGCCATAGATAAAACCCCACATACCATTGTTAAAAGACATAGAGTAAGAGAAAGGTAAACTATAAACACACAAGACTATTATAAAGCTATACAACCAGTTTAACCGCATAAGTTTCTTTTTATTTATGAAAAATCATTTTATAATTTCAAAGAGAAATAATTTAATATTTCTAACTTTTGGATGACGTATGAAAAGGTTGAATATATGAAGAGTGATGGTCTATATATGAATGGATGACGTATGGAGGGTGAAAAATATGAAGAGTAATGGCGAACGGAAAAATAAAAGTGTCCAGGAGCGGGAATCGAACCCACAATCTTCTGCTTACCGGGCAGGTGCCATGTCCACTAGGCTATCCTGGACGATATTTCTCCGTTCGTAACTAATATTTAAACTGACTAATAATACTTATAAATGACTGCGGCGTATAAACACAAGACTATTATATGCGAATATAATACAGTCGAGGAGACTTCCTCAATGCCAAAAAAAAAAAAAAAAGGTCAGTTCATCAATATAGGCAATCATCCCTGGACCTTTGGAATATTTGACCAAATTCTGGTTCGTTTCCAAGGTGAATAAACATGACAACGGCACCCATTTTCCAATGAAGAGCATAGTGGGCATTGAGACTGCTGTGATAGAGATACATGGGGACATCTGAGGCTCTTCATTGTACACGACAACAACAACAAACATTTAGCAAAAAGTAAATAGGGTTGAATAAACCCCTCCTCA